ACTATACATTTAGATGTCATATTATAATATACATTGGTCTTTAATTTTGAAATAATAAATATTAGGTGGTCTTGGATTATCATGATTTAACGAATTTTTACATGACACACATGATCTATTTATTTATTTATTTATTATTATTATTATTATTATTATTATTATTATTATTATTATTATGTTTTCATAATTTAAAAGAATTATATATGCTGAACATAGAAATTAGTCAGAATTATATGGGATAGAACTACGTAATAGTTTTTTTAAACTATAGTCTATAATTATAATTGTAAAGGAAAATACAATAATAATTTGAAAATTTTGATTACGTCTAACGGCTTCTTAATTATGAAACTAAACAGGCCAAGTTTCTCTTTAATAAACAGTAAATGTTATATGCTGTTAAAGAAAGAGAGAGAAAACAAAGTAGGAAAGACTATTTTTCTATTGATTAAAAGCTCATTTAACAAAAGAGATAGGGAGAGAGAAACTGGTAAAACATTTTACAAATAATCATTTATTTACAATTTTCATAACTCTTCTCCTAAACTAATAATAGACATTATCATATTTTTCTTATTATGCTGTTTTTATTTTTTTTATTATTCTTTTAAGTAATTAGACTTATTAAATAATTTTACAAAATATAAGTATTTTATCTTTTATTGGTATTTTTTATTATTATTTGTTTAAAAAATTAAGATTTTAAAGATAATTTTGAAACACATAAATATTTGAATTTTATTTGTGAAATATTTTTGTAGGTTAAAAGTCTCAAAAAAATTGATGAATATATTAAAAATTACTAGTTACAATTCATTTAATTATAAAATTTTGGTCTAGTCCATTTCAAAAAATTCCAAAAACATTAAATAAAGTGTGTCACAAATTTAGATAAATTTTTTTTTGGAGAATAGAAAACAAATATTAAGAAAGAGATGACAAAGGCACATACTAGAAGCTTGAAACATTCATCATGGTCATTATTTCCATCATGGTCAAAAGTGTGAATTCAACCTTCTTTTTTGTAACTTTTGTGATATGAACCATTGTTAATGTATTCTTGTTCATTTTCACTAATTAATGTCACTTCGTTATGTTTGAATATGTTGTTGTGTTACTTCGTTAATGCAAAGTCAATCATTTTTGCATTCTTGAAATTAGTAAATATATAGTCATTACTAAGTTTCAGTGACCATATAACTACCACACTTTCGTTCAAGATACACATAGTTGTTCTTGAACAAGAATAAGATTTAATTTGAATTTGCATGAAGATTGGGTTGCGTTGAATGTATTTTTCGTTGACCACCACTGCTACATTTGTAATTTGGATTTTTGTGTGGTTTGTTGTGTATATTAGCATATAGTAGTTTAATTAGTTTTAGATCAAATTAATTTTTAGTTCAAAAAATATAGCACAATTTAGATATTTTTATATTAGAATTAAGGTTAAATATGTTTTTGGTCTNGACTTAATCAGAACTGAAATTTTGCTCTCATATTCCATATAAAGAAACTAAAATGTTATGGTGCAGTAGCAAAAGTCAAAGTTTAAATTAAATTTGATTGAAAGAAAACAGTAGCGAGTTTATAGTATTGTGGTAAAGTGAGAGAGAAGGGATATATATATATAAAGTACCGTTTGATCTGCCATTGGAAGAAGTGAGCGAAGTGAAGAAACCAAGTTGTTGACCTTCTTGCGGCGATCCCGTTCGCTAGCATTGTGGCTAAGTTTCTTGACCATGGCAGGGTCAGAGGATGGTGCAATAGACCTTTCTTCAAGCTCAATCTGTGTCTGTGGTGAATAAAAGTGATAGGGAAAGGAGTACTCAGAAGACGCATCATCTTTGTAGAAGAGGTTATGGCTATTATTATAGCCCAATGGCTCCTCCTCTAAGAGCCAGCCTTTGGGTGAGAAGATAGGAGAGAACAATGCGACCATGGTAAATGATTATGATTTGTTGGGAGCAGTTAACAAGTTTCTGAGACAATGAAATCATGATCTCGACTTCTGAATATATATGCAGCAGTCATTATCCTTTACGTAATCGAGCATTTTAATATAATTGAATAAAAAATAAGTGGCTGCAGAAGATAATTAAAATATTCTCATTTTCTCCTCGTCACTTGGATTACTTAAATGTAAGTTAATTGATCAAGTATGAGCTGAGATGTTTAAAAATTAAACCAAACACATTAACAATGTTGGGAGATGATAGTTTATGGGAGCACATGTAAACGCGTGTTTGAAATGTGGCTTGTATGTGTTGTGCATGTAGCAGAGAGGGTGAGAGGGTGGGAGAGCGTGGATGACTACCCAACCATCGTGCATTTCTCTACTTCTTTAATTGTCTACGTGGCATCTATGTTTTCTCCTTCTTTTTTACTTTTGAAAGTACTTGACTCAACTCTTTTTTACTTTATACGTGGAATCACTCACTTTTACTATTTTTATTTACCCGATACAATTTGACTTTTAAAAGGTTAATTTGATTTTCGATGAGTTGATTTGGTTCTTTCTTTAGCCTCGATTTTATGTTTTTAGTTTAAGTCGAGTCAAACTCAATCTTTTAATTTAGACGGAATTTGATTTTCAATATGGATTAAAATCTATAGACTTTTAACTTAAACAAACATGTTTCAGTTTTTTCTCAGACTCAACTTAAATTTTTATATGTGTAAACTCCATTAAATCTTTGATTTGGATCGGCTCATCTTGACCTAAACTAATTTGTCATAACATTGTTTGGTATTGATTCAGGTTAACTTTCGACTCAAACAAACTCAGGTATAACCTTTTGGAGTGAATTAACTTAACTCGATTTTTGATCTGGATTAACTTAACTCGACTTGATCTTCAACGGTCATGACCCAACTTAGATATACCGTGATTTTGAATTTTCAATATCTAAAGAATTATTCAATCTAAATTTGAATCAAATTTAATTAAATAAATTAGATTTCAAATCCAAAAATATAAGTACAAATTTAAAATAAATCTATTCAAACATACTTAACTTAATCACTAGTGCAAAAATAGCGTATAACGTCACGCGTTCAACGTCCAACCACTGAATATCCAACCTTAAAAATGACCGGTGGCATTTTTGTAAATAAATGATATTATTAGACGTTGTTTAGAGTTGTAATTCAATGTCAATTTGTTATATTGGATAAATTTTGCTAAAATGTTTGACGCGAAGGTGAAAATGTATTTACGTATCACGTTTAATTCCCTAGAATTAGACGTCAAAAGGATATAAAATGTCGAATGTCCCCGCGTTAGACGTTAAAATGTTAGTGAATTCAATAAAAATTTGAGCGGGAGATTGAAAATTTATTCACTTTATCTTAACTCGCGGTACCTTCTTCTCTGCTCAAACTTTTATGGATCGAAGTTTGACGACCATCACATGTAATCTTTCTTTCATTTGTTACAAATGCATGTTAATTAACTACTTTAGGTATGATTTTCGTTTGTTTTGACCGATTATTTTCATGTTCTTGCTTTCTCTCTCAGTGGTGGCAATCACTTTATTTGTTGAACTTGTTGGTTGTTTTTTTAAACTTATTTATTGTTATTGTTTGGTTGAACATGTTTGTTGTTTGATTGAACTTGTTTGTTGTTTGTTATTATTGTTTGTTTCTGTTGTTTGTTGTTGAAACTACACTACACATTATACTTTATGTTTTATAAAATACCAAAAATTAAAACTTGTTGAGTTGTAAAAAAGGATCACAATTAATTAAAAAAATTGACTAACGTCAAATATTGACCAAATTCGACGTTATTTTGCTTTACTGTTAACGTCGAATATTGACCAAATTCGACGTTATTTTGCTTTACTGTTAACGTCGAATTGTTCTATCTTGAACGTTAATTTAACGTCGACCTCAAATTCGACGTAAAAGTCTAAAAATCATTGACATTATACAAAGTTTTTTACTAATAAATATAAATTTAAATTATTATGAATTAAATTTCGCATTTCAGAATTTTTTACATCCTTAATAATTAGCATTACATAAAGTTTTATCCAAGTCAACCTTATATCCAATGTGCCATAATAAAAGGCCAAAAAAAAACACAATAATTTGCAAGACTTTGATTCAATAAACTATACATTTAGATGTCATATTATAATATACATTGGTCTTTAATTTTGAAATAATAAATATTAGGTGGTCTTGGATTATCATGATTTAACGAATTTTTACATGACACACATGATCTATTTATTTATTTATTTATTATTATTATTATTATTATTATTATTATTATTATTATTATTATGTTTTCATAATTTAAAAGAATTATATATGCTGAACATAGAAATTAGTCAGAATTATATGGGATAGAACTACGTAATAGTTTTTTTAAACTATAGTCTATAATTATAATTGTAAAGGAAAATACAATAATAATTTGAAAATTTTGATAACGTCTAACGGCTTCTTAATTATGAAACTAAACAGGCCAAGTTTCTCGTTAATAAACAGTAAATGTTATATGCTGTTAAAGAAAGAGAGAGAAAACAAAGTAGGAAAGACTATTTTTCTATTGATTAAAAGCTCATTTAACAAAAGAGAGAGGGAGAGAGAAACTGGTAAAACATTTTACAAATAATCATTTATTTACAATTTTCATAACTCTTCTCCTAAACTAATAATAGACATTATCATATTTTTCTTATTATGCTGTTTTTATTTTTTTTATTATTCTTTTAAGTAATTAGACTTATTAAATAATTTTACAAAATATAAGTATTTTATCTTTTATTGGTATTTTTTATTATTATTTGTTTAAAAAATTAAGATTTTAAAAATAATTTTGAAACACATAAATATTTGAATTTTATTTGTGAAATATTTTTGTAGGTTAAAAGTCTCAAAAAAATTGATGAATATATCAAAAATTACTAGTTACAATTCATTTAATTATAAAATTTTGGCTAGTCCATTTCAAAAAATTCCAAAAACATTAAATAAAGTGTGTCACAAATTTAGATAAATTTTTTTTTGGAGAATAGAAAACAAATATTAAGAAAGAGATGACAAAGGCACATACTAGAAGCTTGAAACATTCATCATGGTCATTATTTCCATCATGGTCAAAAGTGTGAATTCAACCTTCTTTTTTGTAACTTTTGTGATATGAACCATTGTTAATGTATTCTTGTTCATTTTCACTAATTAATGTCACTTCGTTATGTTTGAATATGTTGTTGTGTTACTTCGTTAATGCAAAGTCAATCATTTTTGCATTCTTGAAATTAGTAAATATATAGTCATTACTAAGTTTCAGTGACCATATAACTACCACACTTTCGTTCAAGATACACAGAGTTGTTCTTGAACAAGAATAAGATTTAATTTGAATTTGCATGAAGATTGGGTTGCGTTGAATGTATTTTTCGTTGACCACCACTGCTACATTTGTAATTTGGATTTTTGTGTGGTTTGTTGTGTATATTAGCATATAGTAGTTTAATTAGTTTTAGATCAAATTAATTTTTAGTTCAAAAAATATAGCACAATTTAGATATTTTTATATTAGAATTAAGGTTAAATATGTTTTTGGTCTCTTAACTTTTAGTGAAAATTGAAATTAGTCAATCTTTAAAATTGGCCTAGTTTAGTTCCCAAACTTTAGAAATCCATCAATTTTATCCTTTTAACCAAATTTTGTTAAATTTATTTGACATTTCAAATGTATTTCATGATAGTATTTGAGTTGTTTACACCATTTGACTCATTTTAAATAAACTTAATAAAATTTGGCTAGTAAATCTACACATTTTTAAAGTTAGGAGACTAAATTGGGCCAAAGTTTCGAAGAGAAACTAATTCTCAATGAAAGTTAAGGGACCAAAAATACATTTAACCTTAGAATTAATAGTGTTTCCCCACTCAAATTTATAACACATATACTTAAGCTACTTAATCACTTGTTTTGTTTTTGGATTGATTGTTGGTTGTCCCTATACTACATAGAAGAGGGAAACCATTATTTGTATGAACCTAAGGTGACTTAGGGTTTGTCAATTGTTTAGTATTTTCACATTGTGTTGATACAGGAAATCTAACTTCGGTGAAGTCTCTACCATATAGTTAATTCGTAAGTTTAATTGCTTTCTAGAATTTAGAATCATTTCTTAAAAATCAATACTTTTCAATATTTAAAAGTTCTTAGCCTTAATCAGTAAACAATCATATTGTTTTTTAACAACACAAGTCCCTTAAGAATATGATATTTGGACTTATCCACTATATTACTTGTGCGATTTGGTACACTTGCCAATATCCATAACATAAACATTTTGGACTATTGTTAGTGGAAAGTTGATAACATGGCAAGTGCACCGGTTACACGTAGAAAGTGATAAATATTACTCTCTTCTAAGGGATTTTAGCAACATTTGATAACTCTTACAATTCACAACTTAATTAAACATAAAGATCACAAAAACACAAAGAAACTTTGTTTTGGTTTTAATCAAATAGTTGTTATGCAACAAGAAATTAACATAGAATATATAATTGTCAATATTACATTTCATCCATTTCATTCTCATTCATTCACAAATATATCAATTCCAAATTCATGTCAAAATCAACTCACAAGATTACTCAAATTCTATTCATAGTGACTTTGAACCTATGATAACTCTTCAAGTTCCAATTCCTTAAATTCTCAACAAACAATCATGCATTAAGTTCAACTTTAGTTCTAGGTTCAAAAGACATTTTTTAATACCTCAAGAACCTCAAACAATCCAAGGGCCATCAAGCCACAAGAAGCATTAAACATGGAAATCAAATACTAACTTGAATTGGGAAAGCAACACACACACACATTAACAACAAAAATCAAGTTTATTATGTCTAGTCTCAACAAATAGAGTTTGCTCTCCATGGTGGAAAACCTAGTTTATACAACTT